TGCTGGCAGGTAGGAAAGCTTTCGCCGTGCTGCTGGGTTTCGCAAGAGATCGAAAGCATTTTCTGTCCCAGGAGGACGAGTGCGAGGACCGATTCTGGGTGCGTGTCTGCGGCTGGGCTGGGGGGGCTGCGTGGGGTCCCGTAGACCTGACTGCCTTGGGGGAGCGGGGCTGCAGGTTCCACTTCAGCCTCCGAGCAGGAGGGGATTTCGGTTTTGACAAACTCTCCTGGACCAAAAAGCCCAGCGGCCTCTCTTCATTCGGCTGAGCTTTCCCTGCAGCCTCCCAGCACCTCGGCTTTCGTTCCTCCTGTTCGCTGGCATTTTCCAGCTCACCAGCTCAGGCTGCTGCCTCCTCGTTCCCACGCAGCGCTGGGCCGGGCTCATCAACATGCACTGGGTAAGATACAGCTGATTAAGGTGCATGACTCTCACGCGGTGTGGAGGCGAATCTCTATTTTTTTTCCAGGAAAGCTGATGTGGCCTCAGGGAAGGGGGAGCCGGTTAGGAAGGCTGGAGGGGGCTCTGCAGGGCAGCAAGAGGGTCTGCAGCACAGCACTATGCAGCCGCACACTGATGTTTAGCTCCCATGGAGCCTCTTTGCCTGCAGACCCGTGGGCGAGGGGCTCCCAGCTCTTGCTAAACGTCAGGACGCAGCCTGCCCCTTGCCCTGGCTTGCTCTGAGCCCCGCGTCCTGCCCTGAGCCCCGGGCAGCTCCCGGCTGGCGAGCGGGACGGCGAGACGAGCTGCTCGCCTGCGTGGGCAGCGCGCTGGGGCTGCCGGCTGGCACCAGGTAATACAGCCTCCACCGGTTCTGCGGCTGCTGAGCAGGCAGGGAGAGCCCCGCGCCTGTGGCGCAGGGACACGGGCTGCCCCGGCCAAACCTGCTCGTGGTGCACAGCCCGGGCATCCTCCTGCCTTCCCACTGGGAAAAGACCTGCAATTAGGCTGGAGCCTGCTCAGGGAGGGAGCTGGGGCTGGGCTCTCGCCTCTGGCTTGCGGTGGGCTCAGGGGTGGCTGGTGCAGGCACGTGCTGCCATCCCCCTGCCTTTGAATTCGGGTTGTGGGAGCAAAGGGCTTGGTGCGGTTGCCAGCCCATGGCTTTGCTGGCAGCAGCCAGGACTTGGAAGAAACAGGGGAGATCTCCCAGCATGGCTTCTGGCCCAGCTGGGACACGAGCGATGTCTCCCTGTCCGGGTGATGTCCCCTGTGTGTGTATTTTCATTATCCCATGGGACGATGCTGCTTCCCTGGCTCATTCGGACTGAACCAGCTCAGCATCAGGCTCCTGGGGTGTATCAGGCAGGGAATGAGCCCAGCTCATCTGCCCCCCAAGCACGAGTGGAGATGGAAATGTTAAGCCATGTTTAAAATGCAATGCGCTGTTGTGGTTTAACCCCGGCCAGCATGCTTAGGGACATGGTTTACTGGTGATGGCAGTGTTAGGTTAACGGTTGGACTTGATCTTAAAGGTCTTTTCCAACCTAAACGATTCTATGATTCTAAGCACCACACAGCTGCCCGCTCACTCCCCCCCGGTGGAATGGGGAAGAGGATCAGAAAAGTAAAAGTGAGAAAACTTGTGGGTTGAGATAAAGACAGTTTAATAGGTAAAGCAAAAGCTGTGCACGCAAGTAAAGCAAAATAAGGAATTCATTCAGTACTCCCCTCAGCAGGCAGGGGTTCAGCCATCCCCAGGAAAGCAGGGCTCCATCACGTGTAATGGTTACTTGGAAGACAAATTTCATCGCTCCGAACATCCCCCCCTTCCTCCTTCTTCCCTCAGCTTTATACGCTGAGCGTGATGCCATATGGTGTGGGACATCCCTTGGGTCAGTTGGGGTCAGCTGTCCTGGCTCTGTCCCTTCCCAGCTTCTTGTGCCCCCCAGCCTCCTCGCTGGTGGGGAGGGGTGGGTTGAAGAGCAGAAAAGGCCTTGGCTCCATGTATGCATGGAGGAACGAAAGCATCCCTGTGTTATCAGCACTGTTCCCAGCACAAATCCAAAACATAGCTCCATACTAACTACTGTGAAGAAAATTAACTCTACCCCAGCCAAAACCAGCATGTACAAATGTGATTCCTGCTCCTGTGCGGGACGAGGTGGCTGGGGCTGGTGGATGAGAGCTCACAACAGCCAGGCTGGTCCTGGCCAAGCCGGGAGGCTGCACCGGCCCTGCAGCACACCCAGGGCACCGCATCCCCCTGACCAGCGCGGCCAGCGCAGCCTCCGCTGCCCTGCCCCTGGCCCCGCTTGCTCTCTCGCCTTCGCTCTCAAACACCTTGCTCGGTGCTGTTGGCGCTGGCCTGAGGGATGCTTCTCACCTTGTTCGCATGCAAAGTGTTTGGTGGCTGAGCAGAGGCAAGTTTGGAAATTGCAGCCTGGGGACCCTCTTTGGGTGTAAAGTACATGCAGGGGGGCCAGGCAGAGCGTTTCTGCAATGCCCTCAGGCTCAGAGAGGTGGGAGTGTGAGAAATGCAGAGAGAAATATTTATTTGGCGTTTGAAGTGGGGCTGAATGTCATTTTCTGGCTGTGTTTGTGAGCAGATGTTTTGAGGGGGAGTGGGAGTCCAGCACTGGGGAAACCTCCTGTAAACCCAGGGCAAGACTCGCCTTGGCTCTAACTCCTCCTGTCCCTCGGTGCCACAGGTTGGTGGCTTTGCCTGGGAGAACTGCGGTGACAAGAAGGACCCCGCGGTGCTGCAGAGCCTCTCCGTGACGCCCGACCCCATCAGCATCCCGGGGAGCCTGCGCATCAGCGCGGCTGGCAGCAGCAGCAAGACCTTGGCCTCCCCTCTGAAGGTACGTGCCGGAGATGCCTCTGTGAGATGAGGGAGGGCAGAGCTTCCCAAAACCACCAGTAGCTGGGAAATACTCAGCAGTGGGTATGGGAACGATCAGCCCTTGGGGGAACGAGGGATAGAGCAGTGCAGGGCTGAGCGCACCGGGCTCTGTAAGCCAGAACAGGGCGATGGGCATGGGGAGACCCGCTGTGGGAGCAGACAGCCCAGTGGGAAGCTCTCAACCTTGTCCCAGTTGGAGAAACCACCTGAGCTGTGTCATGTCCTGGGGATGTGATGACTCAGGGAAGGAAATGAAACCCCAAGTGCCCTGGGTGTTCCCAGCGGTCGCTGCAGCACTCGTTTTTCAGCAGTCAGATGTGGCTGCTCCCCCCAGGGGCATGCCACGGCACCGCTGTGGGAGCCCTGAGCTGGCCCAGCTGCCCTGCACCACTTTTTGGGGACTTCTTGGAATGAGACTGAACACGTCTTGCTGTCCAAAGTGCATGGGCTGTCTTCAGCAATGCCACGGTGCCTGTTTGGGGCTGGGGCTGTGGGGAGCGTGCTGGGGGAGCGTGGAGGCAGAGCTGTGGGGTGGGAGCTGTTGGGCAGTTTTGGTACAGGGCACTGAGGAGAGGGAAAGGAGAGCGGGTATGTGGGGTGCTGGGGGGTGTTTTGCTCAAGGGGTCAAGCTGAGGTTGGAGGAAGAGAAACCTGCAGGCAGACAGGAACCGAAAGCAGGATGGGGAGGCAGGAGGGTGTGTGGTGGCCGCATGGACATCCCAAAGAATTGCATGAGCCGAGGGAGATGGCTGGGACGGGGAGGGGGTGGGACAGGCTGGAGGAGCTGTGGGTGCCCATGCTGGCTGTACTGGTGCCAAACACCTTCCCCCCAGGCGGTGCTGCTGGTGGAGAAGGCGCTGGGTGACCTCTGGATCCAGCTGCCCTGCATCGACAATCTGGGCAGCTGCACCTACGATGACGTCTGCACCATCCTTGACAACCTCATCCCACCCGGCACGGCCTGCCCGGAGCCCCTACAGACCTATGGCATCCCCTGCCACTGCCCCTTCAAAGCGGTATGCCTGAAACCCCCGGCCGGTGTGATGCCGGCAGCGCCGCCGGGTACCACTGTGCCCTTCAGCACGGGGCTGGGGGGGTTCGATGGGCATCTTGCCTATGTGTCCCCTCTCTCCGCAGGGCTCCTACTCCCTGCCAGCCAGTGACTTCGTCCTGCCTGACGTGGAGCTGCCTGCCTGGATGACCAACGGCAACTACCGTGTCCGGGTGGCTGTCAGCAATGGTGGGGAGGAGCTCGCCTGCGTCAAGCTGGCTTTCTCCCTGCAGTCCCAGTGAGGAGTTGGGGGGGGGCCCGTCCCTCTTCTCCCCACCACCTTGGTCCCATGTCCCATCATATGTAGTTGCACCCCATGCTGTCCCAACCCATCCCTGCGAGCTGCATCCCTCACACTGCCAGGAGGAGGCAGCCCCCGTTACCCCCGCTTGGTGTCCCCCTCCCCTGCTAAACACAGAGAGGCCCCTCCAGCTGTCCCACCATCCCCAGCCCCATCACCAGGGTGTCCCCTGTCACAGGCAGGGTGGCTGTGGAACTAACCCCAGCCTTTCAGCACAACTGGGGTGTAGTTAGTTTTTACCTAGTTTCTCTTTTTTGTTTTTTTTTTTCCTAATCCCGTCCAGGGAATTTTAGACAAAAACATTCCAGGGAAAAGCAGTATTTCTTGAAGCAGTCCATGGGGGAAGGGATCATTTGGGAGTGCTGGGGCAGGCTGGAGGCACGCAGGATTAGCTGCGGAGGGTGTTCCCCCTTGGCCCCCCACCTCCAGCCGGAGCACAGGGTTGTTTTGCAGAAGTGTCCCCAAAGTGGCTGCAGGAGACCTGTCCCCCCATGGCAGCCTGGGTCTGCCTTTGGTGCATCCCTGTCCCGTGCATGGGACCAGCTCAGTGACATGAGGCACCAGTCCCTCCCTGTGTCCCTACTGTGACAAACATCACAAGCACAACAGGACCGAAACTGTCCAAACCCCCAACTGATGTTCCCACTCACGAAGGACTGGTGCTGTTCCCAGCATCAGGAGAGGTGGCTGGACATGGGCTGTGCTTGCTCCGGGGGGACAGACGGCTGTGACAGGCAGTGGGGGCACAGCCTGGCCAAGGACAAGTCCCACTCATCTCATTTTGCCACTGGGACTGAGCCGAGGCAGGACGTTGCGCTGGGTCCATCCTTCCCATGCACCAGCAGAGGCACCCCCACCATGGAGCAGCATCCCGGAGATGGGCTGGACCAGGAGATGACCATGAGGACCAGCAGCCTGGGTTCTATTTGGGGGCCCTGTAGTCCACCTCCTGGTTGTGGCTGGGGAGCCGAGGCATGGGCAGGCAGCATCCTTCCTGCCTGCTGCTCCGGGCAGGGCACATGCCTGACACCATCCGCCTACGCCAGGTCCCCCTGCAGGGTGCAGGTGACCCACCAGCCCCCCGATCCTTTGCTTACTCGCTGTCCCTGCCTGCTCGCATTATTTAGCCCCTCCATAGAGCTGGTCTTCCTCCAAGCACTTTATACGCCTTAACTACTGCTGGGCTGCCCTGGCGGGAGGTCCTCTGCCACGCAGACAGGCTCCCACCGACTTTCTGTGCCCTCCACCCGCTCCATTTCATCCCACTGCTGGGTCCAACCCGGGTTTGTTTTGCCTGGAGAAGCGCTAACCCTCTCACCCTGCTCCCTGCCCGTGCCAGGGCAGCATCCTCCTTTTGGGCAGGTACTGCAGGTTCTTAATAAATCTTTTTACCAGAAAGCAGTGTAAGTGTAAGTGCCTCTTGGTGCTAGGTGTGACCTGGGGGTGTCACTTTTTTCCCTTGAAATAGCGGGGATGTGGTTTTGAGGTGAGGGAAGCGAAAGTGGTCTTGGGGCTGGGGTGGGGGCAGCAGCGGAGGATGCTGTGGCCAGAAGAGCTGAGTGTGAGCAGCCCCGAGGCCGGCTCCTGTGCAGGGGGCACAGTGGGGATCTGCAGGTGCTGCTTTTGGACACAGGGACAGAGCCCCCTGCCCTTGGGGAGAGGGGGCACAGCCTACACTGGGGGTCTCTGGGGGTGTCGCTTGTCCCAGCCACCATCTCTCTCATAGAATCACAGAATTGTTTAGGTTGGAAAAGACCTTTAAGATCACCAAGCCCAACCATTC